AATGATGAATGTTCATCAAGATGCTTGCTCACCCTCCTTCAAATTTGAAAAACAAGTAATTATATCATTATTGATATACAGTTACAACCTTGACTTTACATCAGAAAGAACAAACATTAAAGAAGTGACTAACTGCATCAGTTAGGGTTAAAAAACGTGTATTCAGCTAAAACATCGCTGCAGTTATTATCCAGTGGAAGGTCCTTACCTACTGGCCTAGTTAAATCAAAGTGGTTACTTTCTGTTGGCTGGGCAGTGTAGTTTTACACACCGTCTTATTTTACTTTTTCAGGACTTAAAACTGTTTTTTGGGGGCAGACCCCCTCAAAGAAAAAAATATATACACGCATACAAGGTCATCATCTTAACAGTTTGTTATTCTCATCGAGTCATCCGTGAGCAGAGCATCAAGTTGGCATGTCTATTACAGCTGAATGCGGCGATTACTATTTTGTTCAGCAAAACGCCTCACAAACTTATTAAGATCAACAGCTGTAGTGCGTTTTGATTCAATGCTGAGTACAGCCAAACTTGACATTCTCTTCTCTGTCATTGTAGACCGCAACTACCTCATTCCTTTAGTGCTTGGTTCCGAAAGGCTTCTCGTTTTGCGTCGTCCCGTTCAAATGAATTCGCCACCAATCATATTTCCACTCTCGCGCCAGGACCGGGGGAGGGGTTACATGACGTGCATCTTGTGCTGCATTCACTTGCACTCGGACATTAGAGACTTTCTCTCATAAATGTCCGATGAGCAACAACTTTTCTTTCAAAACAAAGATGCCAACTGGGGTGGCAGCTGGGGTGGCAAGGCTATTGTTTAGGGTGGCAGTTGCCACCCCATGCCACCCCGGTAGATCCGCCCCTGGCTGCAATGCATTGTGGGGCAGCATTTTCTCCTCTCCTTTCGGTTAGGGAGGTCCAGTGGTTCCTAAGCTAAAGGAGGTTATAAAGGAAGTTTGAAACCTCCTTTCCTTTCATTTGGAGAATTGGAACGGCACTTATCATGGCTGCCAGTGACGTACTTCCGGGTCATTTCACTCCGTTAGGAAGGTTCCTAAGCTAAATGGACTATTGGAATGCAACCCCGTCATTTCCCAACTAACTGACACAACTTCCTGTATGACTATTTCCTGTGATAAATAAAGCTGCGCTATTATCACTCGCCACTAGGGGCTCCCACAAACACACAGCTCTAAACACAGAACACAACAGTATTTATATAACATATTTGATGTCTGTCCCTTCTAGGAGAGGAATCCTTTCTCAGTAGATCTTCCAGAGTTTTTCCCATATTTGTTTCCCCTTAAGGAATTTTGTTTGGGGAATTTTCTCTTATCCGAAATAAGTGATTTATGGCTATACAGTTAAAATTGACATGACTTGACTTATATTTACCTTAGAAATGTTATTAGAAAAATTAGACTTAGTTTGGTTTTTAAAGCTTTGAGATGTGCATGCTACATCCACTGTATGTTAGAGATATCGAGTGTGTAAGTAAAACATCTGGCCTATTCGAGACATGGTCTTGTTACCAGAGATCTTATAAAAACATGTTGCTTTTGGCTAGCATCGCGTCAGTCAGCAATCACACTTCATTACTTCTGACCGCAGCAGCCTCTGGAGCAATAATTGGCCACACACTTCTCACTCGTTACATCAACTTTTATAATGTGACCAACACTGAGCTCTGAAATCAAAAGCCCAAAATAGGATCGCCAGGTTTATTCTTCCAAATGTTTTCCGGTAAAAGAAAAAGAACACTTTATTTTATGTATGAAACAATCAAGCAAATGCTCTTTAGCTTGACCTTCTCAGGATGTCTTAAAATGATTTAAAGGCTCTCTGGGATCCATGTTAGAGGATTTGGCTTTTACTTACAATTTCAAAGAGAAAGATACTCTTAAGCTCTTTTCGTCCAACTAAAAAGCCTTCATGCTTTTATCAGTTTGAATGGCTCCTACCGGGACCGGCAGCCTTTCTCAGCTTCACACCCTCTGTGTACACCAAGTGTCATTCTCACTCCCACAGACCATCTATCAGATCAGGCTTCTTTTGAGTTTTTCTAGATGAGGGAGTCCCTCACCTTAAATCACGTTTACATTTTTACTCTATTTATTTAGCTAAAGTTAAACCACAGGATTGTACTCAAACCTGCATTGTATAGAAAGCCTTTTTATCTTGACATATACATCTTAATGTCCTGCACATAATAAGAACTGTGATTCTATAACAGCAAATCTTAATAGTTCTGCGGAGACCACACAGCTGACTTGGTATTACACTCTACTGCAGTGAAAAGTAGATGACTTGGAGTTGCACACATTGATGTCAGCTTCAATATAATTTTTGCTGGGTGACTTGCATTTGATACATTTACGAGTTCATTCCCCAGTGCCATTTCAGCTTTTAAACATGTTTGCCTTATTAGTGGTCGATCTTATGCCAGTTATGTGGTTAAACAGATTTCTTTGTTTGCTGATGTTGTAGATTGCCCCGCAAAAAGAAAACATTGAAACACAGTCGTTTTTTTAAGAACAGGCAAGAATGATGTCAATGTCGTAGACAGCCAAAGCATTGGGCTTTCATTTCCCTCGAAAAATGCTGTGCAACTTACAGCAATGCAGTGATAAAACACACTTCCAAATAAAAGTCTGAAGACAGCAGTTGGCCTGTGAAGGCTTTTCCGGAGCCCTGGAAATCGTGAAAATGTGAAAACAGCATCAGAAAGCCACAGCAGATGACATTTAATACTAATCAGGACAACCATACATACCATACCATAAATAAGAAAACTGGAATCACAAAAGCAAGCTATAATGTTTAAGTCATGTTAGCTAAATTACATGAGAAATAAAATCTCCCAATATTCTGATAATTAATTATTAACTAGCCTTGTTCACATAGCAGTTTGTCACAATCTGTCTGTGTTTCCTATTTTTTCACAAGTGTTTACTTCCTGTCTCTGTGTCTTCCCACCTGATTGTGTTCACCTGGTTCTTTTGTGTTCTTTGATTTTATTTGAGTTTATGTAGATTATTTGCCTTGCTTTACTATTTGCACCTTACATGATTGAAATATAAATTACCTTTTTGTCATTTTACTCATATTTTAATACGTAATTTCTACTCCAGTACAACACAATGATCGCTGATCAACACAGTGGATTAATTTAGCTTTGTGACTTCACTTTTTAAGTCCAACAATGTCAGCTGTTGCAAATAATGGTTTGTGCTGATGCAAAACTTTTGTACTGGATTAATAATACTAGAGTTAGAAGCACATTCTTAAAGCGGTTTATGATCAAATCTGATACGAAGCAGATGAGCAAAAGATATATGATCTATTTTTACTTCCACTTCCTTTGTCCATGTATCTTTAATGTTTTTATTCATTTCCATGTGAGCAGGTGGTCTCTTTAGGGGATCCAGGACCCCGAGTGTTCTTACTGCAGGTACTGTACTCTGTCATATCTGATTTGGTTGAGGTCCAGCGCTGTCCGTCTGTATGTAGCTCAGACCCTCAGGGAGTCCCATCGCCTCTGCAGCCCTCTCCTCTTCCTCAGCTAGCAGGAAATGATCCACGCTCAGCAGAGCGGCCTGCTCGTGTGTGCGTGTGAACGTGCATATGTGGAGTAGACAAGTGAAACGCCTCTTTGACATCATAAATATCCACCGGAGACAAACTTCCCTTGGTTCAGAAGTGGTTCTCTGTTTCTTCTATCCTCATACCAATAAAGGACACCGCTTAAGACCCACATAGGTGTTTGCCAGCGTGTGCGGACTCTCTTCACACTCCACTGCTCCAGAGGTCTATTGAACACATTCCAGTGAGGGTGTCGGGTCAGTGCAGGCGCTGAAGGACGCCAGTGGGTTGCAGACTGCAGTAATTTGTTTAACCTCTGATTAGGCCCAGGAATGTCAACTATGAGGAGACACTAAGTGTCCCGACAGCATCGTTTGACACTTTAGCAATCTGTCTTTGCCAAATGCTAGCAAGAGTCACCATTTGAGACGATAGTTACTTTACGTCCTCGGCAGAGAGGTAGTTTAATGTTTGAAACATCTCATTTGGTTCCAACATAGGATGAATAAAGTAGATCTGGGCCACAGTGAATATGTAAAATATCACATTATTTTGACCAAATACGTTGATATCAATATTGTGACGATACTTTAAGTTTTACTGTGGCTGCTCTTATAGAATATTTACACTGAGATTTTGAAGAATATGTGGATTTGGATATGACAAAGTGAATGAAAACATGATCCATGTATATCAATATATTGACCAGCAGAGGCGGGAAGTAACTAAGTAAATGTACTCAACTACCGTACTTAAGTACAATTTTGAGATACTTTAAATACATTTACTTGAGTATTTCCATTTCATGCTACTTCGTACTTCTACTCCACTACAATTCAGAGGTCAATTGTGTACTTTTACTCCACTACATTATCTTAATACCTTTAGTTACTTTACAGATTTGGATTAATGATGTGAAATATAATCAACTCTTAAATCAGACTTTAGTCACCTGTAGTAAATTCACAAGCTACCCTGCAGTATACAAAGTCATTACAACTAGCTGCACCTTTACCAGCTTTGAGAATACTTTAATGATCAATAATTATAATCAAAACATGTATATTATATTATTCTCAAAATTGGAACAATCGTCAGAATGAGTACTTGTACTTAAGTATATTTTGATGCCAATACTTGTGTACTTTTACTTTAACAGAGTATTCCTACACTCTGGTATTTCTACTTTTACTTAAGTACACAATCTGAGTACTTCGGCCTCCTCTGTTGGCCACCCCGAGAAGAACACCTATGTGATTGATCTTTTCTTTCTTCAACATGTACTTTCTTTGTATGGGATACAATGTAGCGTTTGTATCAGGAGATTTCAACTTAAAAATAGCAAGCTTGCAACCCTAATTTTAAACCCCTCTATCATTACATTAATTTGGCACAAAGAGTGCAGCCTTAACACATTATGAAAAGATTTTCTCTTTTATTTAATCTAGCAACACAAAACTTTCCACATGTTACAAAATATGTTTAAATAAATCTGCAAATCTGGAATTCGATGAGGTAAAGCAGAGTTATCAAAGGCACATTTCTCCAGGGTATCCTAGTGTCTATGTTTTATGCTCAACTTCAAAACACCATTGTACTACTGGCAGATAAACAGAAAAAAAGAATAGCCTTCCTCAGGAAAGCTGCTTTGCGTACACACACATTAAATTATGCAATTGTTGTGCTAATAAACATGTCAATTGTGGCTTTACAAGTTCCAGATACACTCTGTCCTCGCCACATGTACCTTTAGTAAATATTCCACTGTAGATTCTGAAGCTGAAGTTATGAAATATATGTTCAAACTATTTGTTGGAATCATTAATTTCATGCTTCACATCCTATAACAGCTGCTTTTATTTTTCTCCAAAGCTGCTTTGATGAGAAACAGAAACTGGCTGTGTCATGTGGATGTCTGTGAGAAACTTCTTGGATGCGACTTGTGTTAAAGATCTGCTCTTTGTCTTAAGCTGAGAGGTTAGGAGCAGTCTTTATAATGTTAATGTTTCATGACGTTAGAAATAAGATTGATTAATATGAACTTCTACCTCTATCTTTAGCACTCTGTACATGTGGGACACCAGCTTAATATAAGCACTTACATCGTTGTAAATATAGAGGAATAATGACGCAATACTTCATCATTACACTCAGGAGTATTCTGTATATCTGTGTATTAAATGTTGTTCATGCATTCTTTCCCCTCTCCATCTGCACACAGCTATAATTGTTATACATCACTAATAATGTGCATCTGTATTAATGACCTTGTTTTTCATATTCAGCAGAAGTAAGGTGATCGCTCATAATCTGAATGTTGGCAGGTATTCATAGTTTCTCGGCCAATAAAAAAGGCAAATAGATCGCAGTCCAATAACAACCCCAGCATATTAAACTCTACAAATTATCACACTGTGTCGAGACAGCTCGTGTGTAATTGCCAGCAAATACTGTGACATTGGTAACTATTAGAAAGTCATTACTTGAAGTTCAATGTCACCTTAAACACTAAGTGTTTTATCCACAATAAAGATAGAAATTCAGAATACACTGTACAGTACCATATACAATTTCATCTCCCTTTATAAGCCGTCTAAAGTTGGGATAACAAATATACTAAAAAACACAATATATAATACAAGGGTAACATTTATGGGCTCTGTGAGCAACATTTAAAAAAAAGCAATATCTCTCGTCCAGACAAGTTCTGCCCTGCAGTTTAAGAGTCAGCGCTGCTTTCCATTCAGAAGAGTTCCAGTCCTCATTATTATTACAGCCGCAGGTCCAAAACGAAAAATGCAAAAATATTTAGTTTGACACCATGCATTGTGCTCAAAATGTGCACACATTTCACGTGAGATAACCCACCTATTTTTGTCAAGTTTGTGAATCTGTGTGGAACAGAGATCAGTTCAGGTGAACCATGCATGACTTTCTCCTTGTGGCTGACTTCCAGTTCATTGAGGGGAAAGGTGAGCAAGCAACAGCAGCACAGCCATCGCCACTGCTCTGGGGATGGACCAGGTAGAATAAAAAAAGATTTATTCAGCCAGCGAAATGAGATGAGACTAGAGGATAAAATAGGAAGCGTCCCTGTAATGTTCTACATAGCCGTTTGGAAGGTCAAAGTTCAAAAGACTAGGAGAAGTCCAGGGGGCGGATCATCATGGCCGTGGCTCGTAGCGAGTAGCTGGGGCCCTTGAAGTAGTGCCACTTGATACCGTTCAACTTCCCTATGTGTTGCCCTTGGGTGAAGTACATGCCGTTAAGGTTGGACGGGCCGCAGGCATCAAACCACCAACCTGAGTAGAGAGAAGTGGGGAAAGAACAAGGACAAACAAAGCATTTTAGCAACAGACAAGGGATTTCATTAAGTATTGTTTTGTCAAGGTGTTGATAAATTCACCTTTATCATAAGTTGTGCCCTTGGTAAAGGTTGGAAGTTTCCCATGGCCTCTCCCACTGGGCCACGGGACACCATTTCACTGCTATCTGCTCAATGTGTTACTGCCACATGGTTCAGTGGCATGCCAGTACCTGTTGCTGAACGCTCTCCGTACCTCGTTCTATTTAAAGCAAAGAGTGTGCATGTGCACGAGCTCCAGCACAGCAGACATCAAAGTACTGAATGGAATGGAAACTTTTATTCTGCTCCCAGGGTGACACAGTTGATACTTTCCCTAAAGGATATCTGGCACTAAAAAGAGAGAGTAGACGTGCTTGGACTTAAAAGGCCTTTTATACAATTTAAGATGCACATAGGCTTCTTGTCTTAGAAGGATTTCAAGAAATGTATTGCTAGTTCTAAATGTTGTAGCAGGTGGGCAACTGTTTCTCTCTCGCTAAGGCCATAGAAGCAGTTAACACTTTGACAAGTATGGAGAGGCGACCTTCTCTCATTATCGACTAAATGTGTGGGAAAACCCTGCCCATATCCACCATGCAGCTTCTTTAGATTCCTAAAGACTCAGTGATCCTCACTTTTATCTTACCTTACTTGAAGCTCATTTATATTTAGCCTAATTGTTTTGTTGTGTTGTGTTGGCATATCTTACCTGCCACCTTTTGAAATTGAGTATATATGTTTAAAGAATTCAAGTGAATATACTTTATGAATAAAGTGTTGCCATACTATTACTAATATTATATATTTCTGATGACAGATGTACTAAACGTATCCATTCCATCCTAGATATCTTATATCTGAACAGGGAGCAGGTCCTCGCGGATACAGTCAGATATAGAACATATGCGAGGCATGGCACACATCGTAGTGCCTCTCCTCTCACATTTAAATACCACGGCGGCCTACAGCCGGACTTTTCAAAAGACCTGTCAGTAATCAGGAGCAGCGTTCTGCCCTTGTTGCTAGCAGGGGTCACACATTGTTCATGTTACATTGATCGCTGCTACAGCATAAGACACGTACACAACATAGCATGGCAACTGGTGTACACCTCTTTACATTTCTACAGCTGTTTAGAGTTTCAGGATGCTGAAAGCAGTTGGAAACAGTAATGCAATTGCACTAGCTTTTTATAGGTATAGTTTCTCAAGCTGGGGAGCTCTGTCAGACACATGTGTTGATGGACCAAAAATGGGTAAAGGTTATATGTAAATGTTTTATTAAATTAGAAATGGAATAAATAACTATGCAGAGTGAAAAAGTTATCCGTTGTGGTGACAAATACACAGCTACTGGATTAAAATTACAATGTTCTGGACGTGTAAAAATGCAATACGTTAAACACCTTGTTAGTAGCTAATATGTTGATTCTGTGCATAAAATGTGTTTCTACCACGCTCTAGTAGGGCTGAACGATATATCGTGTCATGGCGATAACCGCGATATGCGCGATATTCACATCGCAGGGACGTGCGATTTTATTAATGTTTTATAATTATTTTCTTTTTTCATTTTTTTTTTTTTAGGACGTGCGATATTAAGTAGGTACATTAACTCAAACACGTCACGTTACAATTATTTTGCTGCTTGCTACAAAAGGAACAACTTGCGCGGCTCTCGTGTCAGGGGTAGGCTACTTGAGTGAGTAGGCTTGTTTGAGACGCGTTGCGGCTCGCCTCGAAAGTAGACGAGAATAGCCGATCGCAGCCGGGGGAGGTCTCAAAAAGCTCGCCTGAAGTCGGACAGCTCGGAGTCGGCTTCGTCCTCTTCTTCTTCTCTCGGTTTTTTGGCGGATTGCAAACAACTTTAAGGTGCATACCGCCACCTCCGGAGTCGGCTTGACTCGGTTTACATGTATAAAGAATGCACACATGTGTTTAATCGTTAATGTCAGATACGTACCAAGTAAATACATTTGTTCCTGCTCAAGATTAGATTCAACTTTATTGTTATTGCACATATTACAGGTACTGAGACAACAAAATGCACTTTAGCTTCTAACCAGGAGTGCAACAAGCAGTAAAGTGAAAAGTAATGTACACAATCTACAGAATAACATATAGAATGAATTGAATGATGAATAAACAGTGAGGGGTATGAATACACTAGATATCAGCCTGTGAGCAGTATGAACAGTGTGTATGAATATGCTAAGATATATAAAGTATGAAAACGGTAAGCAGTGCAAGTATAAAATATATGGATATTAATTTCATGACGATAAATATTGTGGAACAATGATGAAAAATGTGAATGGAAGTGGCGACGTAAAACGGACACAAAACGACAACAAACTTTTGCCGAGCCAATTGGAGAGTTTAATCAGCAGCACGTGGAAAAAACCACCAATGAGCGCTCAGCTCGAGATACCAGCGAGTCGTTTCCCATCAAATCGCTTCCGCAGCCCGTGGAGAGGAACTGCGCCGCCTCGCCTCAAGGCTGCGGGCGTCTTTGTCCCGCGAGATTTCAACGTCTCATGTAGGCGAGCCTCCAGAGCAAGTCGGACAAAATGACTAACCATCATGCAACGCACGAGCAAGACGTTGATCGAAATTGCGCAGGTCTGCGCAGGTCTCGCTTGTCTCAAACAAGCCTAGTGACATGCCGGCTCTGCATGCACAGCAAACCACCAATCACAATCATTCTTGATCAGATCGCAGCAGGCCCCGCCCCGCTAGTTTGCAGACCATCAAAACACCGGTAAAAAATGAGCGAGGCACAGGAGGACAATACCGGCGAGAATACCGATGTATTTCCAAAAAGAAAAGCAACATCTGCCATCTGGAACTATTTTGGATCCAAAAAGGTTCTTCTCTTCTTCATTCACAGATGAACCCCCTTATTTGAGGGTAAGCAACATGCATTATCATGACATGTTAGATCATGACTTAAGGTATGATGAGTCAACCAGTTAAGATCCAGACGTCCATGACTAAAATCCTTCATCCGGTTAAATATAGTTAAAAAAAACGCAATATATATATATATATATCGCAGGGGGAAAATATATATATATCGCAATGTCAGTTTTTTTCAACATCGTGCAGCCCTACCCTCTAGTAGCCCTGAAAACGTTCAAAAAGCTTGTAAGATATAATTAAATCTCAACAGAATTTCTTCAAACCACTTGAAAACCAAAAATGTTGAAAGTTAGAGAGAAATAGTAGACAGTAGCAGTAGTACATCTGGTGTCGTGTGGTTGATACACAGGCGGTACGGGGTTTGACAGCATCACAAAGTGCAACCTGCCGTTTCATGTTATTGAGACACTGTTTTGACTCCCTGTTGAATGCTAATGCAGAAAACAGTGAATGTCTCCCACTTGCCATCCCTCACTTGTTGATAAACTGCAGACCACACGACTTTCATTGCACACATAAACATTCAGTGTGCACAGCAGCAAAGCTTTGGGATTAATGATCGGTACCCTCTCTGTTTCCAGACCAGAGATTTTAAAAGACTCGTAAAAACAGTGGGGATGTCTTCTTTAAAAAAAAAGAAGTCTCTATTTCAGTTTGTTCTCATGGGACAGGGATCTCCCTACCTACTACTGTCAGGGCTGAACCCCTACGGTGTGTTCTAGTGCTGTGTAAACATATACATTACAGTGTGTGTGTGTGTGTGTCCACAGTATATCCTCCTCTGTACACTTCACACGGCATGCTGCAGTTGTCCTCATAAATGTAACAGAAGTATTTTTCCTCTTGTATATTCCAGACACTTACATCATTTAAATGCAGGGAATAAATCAACTGATATGCTGTATTTACTGTAGCACAGGGCTGGGTTCGGCCTCCACTCAGGCTACATGCTGTCATGCCTCTCCATTATGGCTGGCCATAGGCAGGCTATGAATCAAGCAGGAGTAGGGGTGTTGATTAGTGATCGGATGCCAGTTCCCTTTAACCCAGTGCATTCAAAATGACCTAAGAGGTAAACCTGATCTTAAATCTGCACTTTAAAATGCTTGATTAGTACCAGGTCAAGGCTCTCACAGCAATGGAGCTGCTATGAGGTGACAGCGAGGGTCACCGGGCTCCCCTTACACAGCAGGGGAAGCAGAGTCATTTTAAATCTCCCTGACACTTGGTGCCGCGCCCAGGGATCTTTATATCGTGCTGGTTGCCAACCACAGTGCATGGGTGGGGATGCATATAGAATATAGGCTAATAGGTGCAGATAGAGGTATAAGTGGCCATGTTAGCCTGTTGCAAGCATGTCAAAAGCAGGCTGTGATCACAATGGCCTGCACTAATGACTGGGCAGTGAACATGGTCGTAAAAGCAAATCAGAGAAAATTGCTTTTTAGAATGGCTACATCATGCTATTGTACGCAGTTGTTGCTGCCATAAAGATACACATTTAAAGATTCATGTTATGACAACTATGGCATATGTTGTTCTTTATGCATGATTTCTATGACATTGTACTCCCTAATTTAATAGCCGAGAGTGAGAAAGAGTTGTTGAATATAATTCTAATGGGGGAAGAAAGAGGAGAACTTCAGGCTTGCTAAACTTATTCAGAAGAGAAAAGGACAGCAAATGATTAAATGATCATTTGGAGCTGCTTTAAGTAGTGGATCAGGTGACGGTATGTTGCTCACATCAGAGCGGCATGCTCCAAAGAACATTTTGTACATTTGAAATGCATCATTCTGGTGCACTTAAAGAGCAGAATGAAGAGGTCGGATCTACGTTACGAGATATTTGTGTTAACGCTTTTTGTTTAATATTGTTGTGCTTTAAAATCCTTTTCAAATTATAAACAAACGGTGTTGTATAGAATAGATTTACACACCTTTGTAATGTCCCTCACCCAGCTCCAACCCACCTCACACACACACACCCCCCATACTGCACTCATTCACCCACTATCAGCAAAGCATACGGCACGGATTTTGCCCTTTAAATAATATTTTTAATATTTTTTTTTAAATGTATTTATTTTTAGAAATACAGAGTGTAAGGCAAATGAATAACTTAATTTTACAAGAAAACTGTGCATTTGACATTAAAACACACTGCAATAAAAGGCAAACCAAAACTCATAGTAAACGAGACAGGATCTGCTGCTGTTTGAACTTTTTAGCAGTTTTGTTTTAAGTCTAATGTTTATTCATTTATGTGACGTTTCTTAAGCTGCTGTTTTGATCAGGACTCCCTTTCAAAATAGATTTTGATCGCAGACGGTCATTACGTGAGCAGCTAGTGAACATAGTTGAGCATTTAGATGTGTTATTTAAAGAAAAATGAATGTATGACTATTCCCACTGTGATGCACTGTCGCTGCACTTACCACCAGTGAGCATGAGAGCACACTTGCACATGCAGTTGTCATTGTCCATGTCCTTGGTGCTGAAGTCTGCTCCGTGGATCACGAGGCTGCTCTGTCTGCCTGCCGTCCCACTGTGGCTTTTCAGGAACAGCCTGAAAGACGGGAGGAGGAGGGAGTCAGGACATGAAAACACATCAGGGGGAGAGGAGTGTGCTGGAGGGAGCAGTGTAAGCAATAAAGACAGCAAGGAGACATAACATGCTGCAAGAAATGTCTCCCGAGAGGCATTTATTTTTTATTTTGATTGAGTACATGTAGAACACCTGGAACAACATTAGTCGGGAGGACAGAAGATCAAATAAAGAAGGAAATAAAGAAAGATTATTTAAAAATATTACAGATGGAAAGTGAGAGAGACAGAGAGGAAAGAGCATGTAGTGTAAGGAATGTCTGGGAATCACATTTCCATCCGCAGGGCCAGAGTGTGTTCGTTCACACCTTAAATACTGACTGACTACTGACTAATACACAACCTGTCTACATGGTTTCTACTGTTTTAGAACATTTATTCATTTTATGAAACCAAACATACTGCTGTATTTTTGCTGCTAGGCCATCATTTATATATATTACCAAGCCCAATTCAAAGGAGTTTCTATTGAAAAAGCATTACGTTACTTGTGCAATAACTGGAGTGCACACTGTGCCGAACCTTTACTATGGCGGCTGAGACTAAGCTTAACATCTTAAATATTTACCAAATTGGACGTTTTAAAGACAGTGGTGAAGTTAAAGGCTGGGGCATCGTACTGTTGATTTCAACATGGAGGCATGTCATGACATCCATCTATCAATTACCAATATAATCGGTTGAAGTACATCATTCTAGCAAACTTACGTTAGAGATATATATATCTTAAAAAAACAAACCAGAATGTTAATAGTTATAAAGTAAGGGTTTCTGAAGTTGGTGTCATCGCCTTTGTATGTTAAGGTTATGCTACCCAGTTCCTGTACTAGTCCAAAACAAGTCAGTGCTGTGAACAAATGTCAACGTGCATCTTTTTATTGGCACAAACGTTCCTCTGAATATATACAAAAAGTCACATACTATTAGTTGAAATGTCACAATGGATTTCACATGTGCTACAGAAACAGAAAGCTATTGTTGAGTGATGGTGTTATTATAAATATCTGCTGGTAATCACATGGCTACTATCCATCCAATGCAATATTCAAAGAGATAGCAAGTACTAATATTCCTTGCCAACTTTTCACTCTGAGGATTTTTCCGACAAACAGCATGTCCATGGGAATGATAAGCCGTCACTCCCATGTTGAATTCCTTTACACCCAACACACTAATTGAAAACTGATTTCTTCTGGGTATGTCCCACTGTGAACTCACTCGAGGTGAGAATGGGAAGTGCTGCAGGCGGATCGGACAATTCCTTCATCCCTTCGCCAACTTTACAGTTGCACACCTTCCCCTAACCTGCTGCATCACACGCTTGCCTTTCTTATTTTAATGTCTGTTTCTCTCACGCCCTCTCGGTTTCACTCTTTCCCAAAAGAAGATGATTGCACATCCAAAGAGTGCCGATGAGGTCTATATTATTAAGTACGGTTCACTCCCAGGGAAAGCAATTTCCTGAGTTCCTTTCTTGACAACAGGGGACCATGGGGCGTGAAGTGAACCTCGCACCCAGTTTGGGTTTTCCGAAGAGAAAGAAACAAATACAAAAATATGTTATGCATTCAGTAGACGCTCTGTATGCACCACCAGCCTTTGTGAAGCGTGTAGCTCCGAGGCGTCAGCTTCAACAGCTCAAAGAAGGAGACTGGAAGACTCCCCAGGAAACAAAGTCATTTAATGTGAAAGACTTCTGTATTTGGACAGCTGTGTAAATGGCTGATTTGTACAGCAGAGTAAAAAGTGTGACTGCGGGTCACCGTAGGGAATTCACTAAGCCAGTAAACCAATACATTATAACCCTACAATGTAAGGGTGAGTCATGTTTCTAATCAGTGGCACCAAATGACCACTGGATATGGCAAGTTTGGATAAGGGCCTGCGAGTATATTATAAGCACTTGGGTGTGTGTATAGATGGGCAGGTTTCACTGTGTGTGTGTGTGTGTGTGTGTGTGTGTGTGTGTGTGTGTGTGTGTGTGTGTGTGTGTGTGTGTGTGTGTGTGTGTGTGTGTGTGTGTGTGTGTGTGTGTGTGTGTGTGTGTGTGTGTGTGTGTGTGTGTGTGTGTGTGTGGGGTGTGTGTGTGTGTGTGTGTGTGTGTGTGTGTGTGTGTGTGTGTGTGTGTGTGGTGTGTGTGTGTGTGTGTGTGTGTGTGTGTGTGTGTGTGTGTGTGTGTGTGTGTGTGTGTGTGTGTGTGTGTGTGTGTGTGTACGTGTACGTGTACGTACGTACGTACGTACGTACGTCATCTGTGACACATGCTGAAGTATTAACCGTTGTCTACAAGGCAACAGATGTCTCACACCGAGTCACTTACGGGCAAGCATGACTTCTATCAGCTAATTCCTGATTCTGAGGAATAAAACATGCAATGTCAAAGATGAGGTCTGCTACCGCTCTGATAAGGAACAGACTGTGCTCCATATTAACCCTCTGTCTTCCAAAGCTCTTGCGACCTCTGTTGCGCTGACAAATCGCCAAGGAGCATCATAAAGAGGGATTTTCATCATGACACTTTGACAGGCTGCTTTAAATAGTCTGCGGCTGTGTTTACAGGCTGCGCTGCATATTTACAGGACCAACAATCCCCAACTCAACTGACATCTGCAGTTTTTCCTGTCAGGATCCATTATGCACTCAAATGATAAGTGGGGGAATGAAAAGACCAAGTAATGAACTCAAGAGGAAGAGATGCTTTTCCTGAGGCCTGTTTCTAAGAATGAGAGAGATGTTTGTAGTAAATCATGTTAATGAAATGAATCCGGGGACAGACACATGCTCAGCCAGAACAGGAACTTAACAGGCAATGCGTGCAAATCAGATTTTTCCTATTAAAGTTACATCGTTATGTCATTTGTCAAGGCTCATTAGTAACCAAAATATTGAGCTGTGAGCAGAATTATTTGGTTTTACTCAATGACACCCCTGGGGAGGGAGCTTCATGACCCGCCGTGTAATTATTCCAATATCAACCCGGGAAGCCGGCTTGTTTGTGATCTTCTGACACATTCAGAAAGTTCAAACAGCAACAGTGCATGTCCTCATAAGCACAAGTTCTCTTTTTTTACATTGATCTTGTTATGCATATAGCTTTTCCTCCCTTATTCACCGAGATATTAAGACTTCCTTGTGAACTTAAACTTTTACGATTTTATAAAGTCATAAAAGAAAGTCGGCCATCATTAGCCAGCTAAGAGCTAAGTCACACTTCTTATGTGTTAAAATGACATGAGGTAAAAGTGTTTTCTAGTAGTTTAATTGGTTAAAAAGCAAGCTAGGCTAACTAGCTATCATTTTCTGAGACAAAGGTAGTTAGCATAGCTTGCTATCTCCAATTTCTACTGAAAAATCAAAAGGGAATCTCCCAATTTTTGAATGTTAAAAGCAAAATCACTAATGCAAGACGCAACACTTAAAGGATTTACATGATGCGTTCCGCTTAGTATCAGTGCATCTTATAGCAACATAAGCAATCAGATGCTGGCTAACTGCTGCCATGGGAAACGACAATCCTGAATTTTAGATTCCAGTTCCACAAATTATTTTATATATTTGAAAAATGGGAATATAGCTGCAGTATCATTTTAGTTTATATGTCCTTAAGCAAGAGTTTGGGAAAATTCAAATGGCAGCAAGAGTTTGACAGAGAGCAGGCATGTATCTAAAGAGAGGGCTCAGGTCATTAGAGATAATGAAGGGCTTGTGTCAGCAGAAAAAACATTCCAATTATAACCGTTTACAGCAGATCAGTGGGGCATTGTTTCAAAAAACAATGCTGAACTTTCATAGGTTATTATCCAATTGTGTTTAGCAGCACAATTACAATTCCACACATATGAGGCGTGGCTGCAAATGTCTCCAACTGAGCAACTTCAAAACTTGGGGTATATACAACTATTTGCACTGGGGGTTAGGGAGAAAAGTGTTGTTTTTATTCTTCTCAGTAATTTTAGGGGAAAACATGCCTTTAAGCTTTGATGCAGATTCAATTTTCAAAATGAGTCTATGCTCTGGAGTATAACTTCTTCAAACTATGTGGGAAATTCATTTCAGCAGGGTCAGGTGAGGAATCAGATGACTGAGTTATGTTTATCTGAGAGCCCTTCCAAGTCAGACTGATATTTTATCCCCATCTATCTTGACAAACATTATTGCTAGACATTATTAAAACATTTACAGCCAAGACAAAAATGAAGGCTTCCCACTTTTGTTTCCATTAGCTGTGTTTTTTTTATCAATGTCCAAGCTTTCACATAAAAATACAAGCATAACATTAATATAAAAAAAGAAACTTAATAGCATAGCATAGCAATATAATTTTACAAGATAAGAGTTTTGTTAGACATGCCAGTCTCCTTAGAAATCGCCTTGAAAAAGCATAAATCAAACGTCATACTGGTAGAAAAGCAGTTAATTTAATAACAGAAGTGCCTATGAAGGACTCCTTGGAACTGGTCTTTCCCAAAGTGTGTCACTTTCTCCCCACACGCTGACGATATGTGTTGCATTACAGCTGAGCGTGCTGGGATTGGTGTGGGGCCTCAGATCTGCTAACGTGTTGCCCATTCGCAGTCTTACTTTTATCTGACACTTCCCATTTTACAACACACCGTGTTACCCTGAACAGAGGATATTGCTGTCACAAAGTGACTTTATACAATTATTTCTCTCGAGATGTAAAAGGAAAAGCTCATAAAACAATGTCTGTAATGGAATGTACACTATGCTTCGCTGTAGAAAGTTCAAGGGATACTTTGATGAAAACAACAGTTATAAAATTGTTGAAAGGTGTGAATGTTCAATACAATCTCAGCTGAAAATGATACTGCTTTGGTTTCATTTATCTCCATACATTAAGGCGAAACCCAGTGAGCTTATGCCGTTACACACCTGGCAGTCATTTGCCTCCTGAACTGCAGTCTGATTGGCCCATTGCAGAGGTTAATCACCCTGACCAAT